CAGGAATGCAAAAGAAAACCGCAATTCTATCTCACTACATTCCCGCTCTAGTGGCTAAGATTAAAAAGGCTGGAACCCGCCAGAGCTGGAGAGAACCGCAGCAACTGTAACTCGTGTGCACTGCTGGTGGTGGAGTAAACGCTGCAGCCGCTTTGGAAAAATGCTTGGCAGTTATTGATGAAGATAAACACACACACCTCCCCTTTGATCCAACAATTCCACTCCTCATGGAATTTCATTTCCAAAGGAAATGAGAGCACATGCCCACAAAAAAAAAAAAAAAAAAAAAAAAAAAGGCAAATGCTCATAGCAGCTTTTATTTACAATAACCAGAACTTGGAAGCAACCCAAATGTTCATCTAAAGGAGAATGGATGTCAAATTGTGGGATTAGGGCTCAGCAATAAAAAGGAATGAATTGCTGATGGAGGCAACAGCCTGGATCTCAGGGGCATGATGTTGAGGAGGGGAAGCCAGACACAGACGTGAATGTAACAGACGATGCAGTTGATGCGACGTTCTGGAACAGACGAAGGGAATCTCTGGTGAGGAACAGTCAGAGGCGGGTTACTAGCGGAGGGGGAGGGGTCCATCGGGGAGGAGGGGGACTTTCAGGGGAGGTGAGGATGCTCTGTGACGTCACGGGGTGTGAATTACACAGGGGCGTCCCCTTGTCAAATGGTAGAGCTAAGGGTACATCTCGATCTACATAAATCCTGTCCCCCCAAATGAGAAGCCTATGTTAAGGCATTCCGCCCCATGCTCGAAATGCAGTAGGTGCTCTGTAGACACAATAGGTGCGTGTAGACGTCGGTGCATGCCTAGATATGCGGATGGTGCCAGCGAAGAGGGTGGCAGAGAAGGGACTCTGCCCCTCGGCACCTTCCATAGGACCCCACAGTCGACACTGGTGTCCAAGCGTCTTTCCAAGTCCCACCTGTCTGGGAAGCTTCTGACCTCTCCAACCTTCAATGTCCTCTCCGTCAAGCACAGCTCTTGCTTGGGGTCCTAATGGGGCGGGTGCTTGCATCACCCTAAGATCGACAGATCGCCGGTTCTGTTTCTCTGAAGAGCCCTCAGTGCCCACGCCATGAGGTCCTCAGCCAATGAAAGCATTCTGACCAGTCCACCGACCAGGAGATAGCAGAGCAGGAACGCGGCTTCCGAAAGACCACGCGGCCAGTTCCCCGCCCGTGCACCCCGGCTTCCCCATCCGCACGACACAGAGCTTTGGGCTCAGTTGCATCTCGAGCCCTGATTCTGGTTGACTGATTGTGGGGGCTGCATGGGGGTCTTTGCTGAAAAACATTCTGAGCTGCATGGGATAGAGTCCTGGGGTCAGTTAGGATGTTCCCCCAAATGTGGGATGAGAAAGGGGGCTCCTGGGCTGGCAGATTGCTGTCCTTGCAGTGATGGCCTCGAGGACCCTTTCCAGGCTGACGTTCAGTCACTTGGTTCATTTCATCGGCTCATAGAATATTTAACTGTCAAGGTCCCCCCATCCACCCCACTTCCTTCCACCGGCCCATCAGAGCAAAGCTGATGACTGTCTTCGGACGGTACGAGCGGGCTGATCTGCCTTCGAGGTGTCTCACTGAGCAGCCCGGGGGCCTCCCTGTCTCCCCTCTGTTCCACGCTGTCAGAATTCTCGACAGTGCCTTTGTCACCAGCCTCGCTTGGCTGCACGACAGAAATCCAGGGTGTCTGGCATCCTTCGGAAGGAACCCCTGCAGGTACTTGCCTGGACCTCCAGTAATCTGGTGGGCAGGGCTGCGGGAACTGTTTCCTTTGGGGGCAGCCTCTGGAGAGGTGGGGGTGATTTGTGTCAACACGAGTGACCGTTCCCAAGGCCCACCTTTGGGGACAGAACCCCCTCTCCGCCTTCTCATTGGTTCTGACTGGAGCCGGGAGCCCCGTCACCATCTGGGTGCTGATTCCCGCCCCAGTTCTTGGCACTGCCGACGTCCAGACACTCGTGTCGCAGTGGAGGGCGGGCAGGAGAGGGGAGGACGGACGAGCTGGGGCCGGGATCACCCCACAGCTCCCTGTAGCCGCTGTGGAGCCTCAGTGTGTGGTTTTCTAATCTGTGAAAGGGCCTCAGTTCTCTCCATCTCCAAGGGTGTGTTAAGTTGGAAAGCATACATGTTTTTCAAGTGCCCACGCGTGCGTTGGCATCCCTGTGGACTGGCTCGTCGGTGGGTGGGTGGCTGTTCACGTCACAGTTACGGGGGTCCGTTAGCTGGCCGAGCCCCGTGTGATCTGGCTTTGTCCTCAGGCCAACTTTTGCTTCCTTACACCTGGAGTGGTGGTGGTAAAACAGCAGGTGACGTACCCGCAAAGCAGCAGCTTCGTCTCCTGCCCTTGCTCATCAGCTACCTGCGGGGGTCTATCAAGGTAGACACTGGCTCACCCCTGTCCCCGGAATCGCCCCCCACAGAGGGAAGTCTGATGCATCTACCCACTGTCCCATCGCAGCTCAGCCCCACGGGGGAGGTGTCCAGGGCTCTGGGGAGACTGGCTGCCACAACCTTCCTTGAATACGACACGTTGTCTCCAGTAGGTTTGTGACGATCTCTCTTCCCCGCCGCAGCCCCTAGAATGACAGCTAATATTCAAAAGCTAGGTTTGGGACGGGCCGGAAACCCACTCGTAAGAGCCGCTGGGTAATCATTTCTGCTCTCGCCTCCCTCCCCCACCCCCCGGACTCTGTGCGCTGGGGAGCGGAAGTGGGCCACCTCATGCTGACGCCTTTCAGAAGACAACTTTACCAGGTCTCCTTTGAGCCAGGCCATGAGATGTGTCCTCACACAGAGAGGCACTCGGGGCTGGCGTGGGCCTCCCGGGGGAGCTGGCCTCTGAGCACAGCCTGCCCCGAGGACGGACCCCACAACAGGCTGAAGAGCTGGCTGCCCTGGGCCCAGGGTGACTCCTGTCCCCGATCCCCAGGCCAGAGTGACCCCTGGGGGCCGGGGGCCTGTGGGAAGTGAGGGAGAAGTCGGGTTGGCTCACTTGCTGTTGACTCATTCAGGGAAATATTTGCTGAGCACCTACTTTGTATCAGGAGTGGGGATCAGAAGGGAGGAAGAAATTGGGTTTCGTCTGGGGAAGAGACAGGCTTATCCACAGGCGCTTGTAAAATAATTGGAGGTGCAGTGAGAGGGATGCCCCTGGTACAAGAGCTCCAGATGGAGAGTCCCGGATGGCAGACTGGGCGGGGGATCCCAGAAGGCCTCTTGGAGGAGGTGTCCCTTGCCTGGAGGCTTGCAGATCAGAGGGGATAACTTGCTGGCAAGATCATGAGCTGAAAACAAAGGTTTATTGAATCGTAAGTTAAGCGGTAACTTCCTTGCTCCTTTGGGAAGGCGCATCACAAACTCCTCGTCCCTCTGCTCTGCTTCCTTGCTGACTGGTGGGGAAAACGTCCACGTGCCTGTGAGCTCTGCACTTTGACCTTCACACTTCAACTGCTGGGACTGGGGAGACCTTGGGCTGAGCCGAGAGCTCTCGGGGCTCCAGGTCTCAGGCGTGGGCCCCGGGGAGAGGGCATTTGGTCCCCAGAGCTGGGCATGCCTGTCCATCAGCTATGCAAAGATTCTCGTTAAGGCAGCATCTCGCCCCCCCCCGGGCCCCAGCGTGTGTCCCTGCTTTTACTAAAGGGCTGGGGTAGGTGCGCTTTGTCACGGTGGGACCTTCCAGAAGGGCGGCAGGCAGAGCACAAGGCGCTCCCAGGGTGCCTGGGTTAAACTACCAGGAACCACGGGAAGCAGGTGCCCTGTCCTTGGACCAGGACACTGAGGCCAAGAGGGAGGGCCTCGTGGTGGCCCCAACTGCCTCTCCCCTCCGGGGGCCCCTTCGTGGATGTGGCTTCAGCCCCCCCACCCCTCTCCCCCGCTTCCCTCCTGTGCAGTGAGCATGACGTGGGGGAGGACATCTACGACTGCGTCCCGTGCGAGGATGAAGGGGACGACATTTATGAGGACATCATCAAGGTGGAAGTGCAGCAGCCCATGGTGAGCCCCCGCTGCCCGCCCCGCCCCGCCCCTCCTTTAAAGCCTCTGCGCAGACCCCACCGTCTGAGCCACGGGCCGGGGGGAGCTGCACCCGGTCCTTCCTGGCCACTATGGGGTTTATCCCCTGCGCCAGTCGGCCAGGTCCCTTCTTTCCTGTGAAATGTTCTAGGGAGACCGGGATGTGACACGGCTGCCACCCCGCCTCCCCGGACGTGTTGCTCTGGAAGTCTCCTCCGGAGGGGGTGCAGAACCCCGAGTCCTTCCTGCTCAGGGAGCCTTAGATAGTGACGCGGTGCTGGTCTCAGGCAGCCTGCCTCCCTCTGCCCTTAGCCAGCCTTGCGTCTTTCCTGCGCGAGGATGTTTATTTCCGACGGGCGTCGGCTAATCACGTCTCGGATGTTCGTTTGCTGCAGCTCCACGTGCTGCCCACAGCTGCTGTACTGGGGCGGGAGGGTTCCTGCCAGGCCAGGATGGGAGACGGGGATCTGGTGGCGTGGACCACAGCCCTTTCGCACCCCCAGACTCCTGGGGGCGGTCGCGATGCCAGTTGCCCACTATGGAGGCTTTTGATGCCATTTGCCCTCACCAAAGAAATGGGAGAAATTTCTCTGAAAGCAGGTTTCAGTCTTTTCCCTCAGTGTGGGGGCCACCAGCTGGTGGTGGAGAAACAAAAAGGGTAGGACACAGCTCCCCACGAGGCCTCTCAAAGAGGCCCTTCCCTCTCTCTGCCGGGAGACATGCCGAGATGCCGGGCAGTGGCTCACAGCCCCAGATGCTGCTTCTAAGAGTGGGTTTCTCATTTTACCCCTCAAGGGTCTGAAGGTGGGTTTCGGTCCCCACAATTACCAGGAATCTCGCTCTGGAGACTCAGCTGTGGGTCTGTGAGCCCAGGTCTGCCCCCGCCCCGGGCAGCCTTATGGTAGGCAGCTCTGCTCCTGGACCTTCCAGGGAAGTGGGCTCAGGGGGCCGGAGGGCTCTGCTTAGCCGCCCCGGCCTGAGAGGCTGGCTGGCCTCCCGCCTCGCCAGCAGGCTGAGTGAGATGGGTGCCGCCCGACTCCCCAAGCCCTTTGGAAGCTGGGTGTCCTTGGGTTAGGCGAGGGCATGTGGGTGTAGTGGCCTGTGTGTTTGTCTGGGGGGATCCCCTGCCCCCTGGCTGTACAAGCTCCCATGAGACCCCGTGTGCACCTGGCTTGCAGAAGCCCTGGAGTGGGCGCTCCCCAGAGGCCGCTGCTATCCCTGGTGCTGAAAGCACATGACAGGACCCAGGGCGTTTGCAGGACCTGCGGGGCTAGGGGAGATGCCCGCCTGTGTCCTGGGGACAAACCAGCGTCCCACCTGCCCAGCGATGCGTAGCATCCCAAGTCTCGGCGCTGGGCTCACGAGCTGTCCTGTCCATCCGGGCAGGGCGGGCCTCCTGCCACCCGCCAGGTCCTCTGAGATAAAACAGCTGGTTTTATTTGCTCCCCTGTCATGTCTGGAGCTATCTGAACGGTCTGAGTGGAAAGTATTGGGAATAGTGATGTTTCTAAAGGAAGCTACAGCCAGGAGATGGCAGGTGCCACTCTCAGAGCCCGGCTGTGGGGAAGCTGCCATGTGCTCGGTCCTGGTGCTGTCTCCGCCGCCCCGCCAGGCTGACATGCGGGCGGGCGGAGGGTGTGATGTGACCTCTGGGGCCGTTGGCTAATGGGGGTGAGCTCCCTGACTTCCCCAAGCTCGGCTTGAATAAGCATAAGCACTGCTAACTGGTTCTTTGCTCTGTTTGTTTCTCCATGCTTTCAGATTAGATACATGCAGGTAAGTGGCAGGTGGAGGGGAGGCCCGGGGCCAGTTCTGCCAGCACTGTCTTCCTCTGCCTTCCGGGAGGAACTCGGGACCCTGTCTCCAGGGAGACGCTGTTGGGCACCACATTCCTACACACAGTTTTAGGGGAATTGTGGACCCTCAACACTGAATTCCCAGGCTGAGCGGGGCTTCGGGCTTTGGGAAGGAGCCTGGGGGGCCTGGGTGATGTGCCCGCCTGGCAGGTTACTTTGGAGAACTGTGGCCCCGGCAAACCCACGCGGGGCCCTGGGGCATTTCTTGGAGGAGGGGGAGGATGACGTCAGGGCAGGTATGAGTCCAGATGGCACGTCCCACGTCCCAGCACTGTTTCCCTGGAGCCTTGCTTGGTCAGCCTGAAAGGACTTGAGGAGAGTGTCTGGACCGTCCACAGTACCTCCGACAGTCAGCCCACCTGCTGCCTCTTCCCCGGCCCCTGTGGCCACAGTCTCTTGGTCAGTCCCACCCCAGAGGTGGGGCAGGCCCTGCCTCAGAGGCGTGTCCTCAGTGACCCCTGCCGACGGGCTGTTAGCTTGGAACCTGGTCAGAGGCAGTGGACATTTGGAAAGTCCAGCCCTGTGGGGAATTGGCTTCTTTCTCTGAGGCAGTAGCAGGCTGAAGCTGGGAGGGTGGATCAGCTGGTGGACACGTGTCCTCAGGGAGCTGGTCAGACCCTCTCTCTGTGCACGTGGTCGGCGCTTTAAGCATGTGTCACCTGCTGTATCTGCTGGAGGGGGTGACCAGTCTGGTGGAGACAGATTCAGAAGCCTCTTTCCCACCTCTGCGCTGTCGTTAGTCCTCAGCGTCACACCACGTCCCCTCCCCTGTGCCTCAGCCTGCCCATCTGCAGAAAGGAGGGGAAGGGCCTTTTGTCTCCCGCGCGGCCCCCTTCACGCTCAGTGACCCCACGGCCGAGCCTGGGCGGGCGGCAGGTGGAGGGCATGGCGGGCTCCTGGCTGACCTCCTGTGCCCCCTCTAGAAAATGGGCATGACGGAGGACGACAAGAGAAACTGCTGCCTGCTGGAGATCCAGGAGACGGAAGCCAAGTACTACCGGACCCTGGAGGACATCGAGAAGGTGGGCGTGGCCGCCGGGTCCACCCAGGACCCCTGCCTCCTGGGAGACGCTGTCACCGGGCAGGGACTCCGGGCAGCGGTGACGGAGGCGGGGCTCAGAGGCCCTCTCGGTTTTGCACCCTCCACCAAAAAGGAGGTCGCCCTCACCTTTCCTCTGCCCTCTGCCCTCTGCCCACACACAAGCTGTGGGCTCCACTCAGGCCAGTTTCCTCGTCAGCTGCCATCCTTGGCCCTGGTCCCACCTCCCACCCTTTGGCCTCAGCTCGGACCCTGGACTGTTCCTGAGCTTGTTTCGCAGGCTCCTTCCAGCCTAAACTGGGCATCGTTATGGCTTCTGCTCCTGAATGCGCCGAGCTAGGCTCTTAATGTTTTTATCCTCACCCAGAGCTAGATGCCTTCTGTATACACTCTCACCCAGGCCAGGCGCTGAGTGAGCTCTTGGTGTATCCCTCCTCCCTGGGGTGCTGTCTGCACTCAGCCTCCCCCACCCCGTAAGCTGCGATAACAGCAGTACCACCCGCTGTGGGCATCCTGCACCTGGGACGCAGTTGGGCCCAGTGACGTGAGTCTCTGGAGCTCCTGTGGCGGCCTGTGTGCTACCCTGAATGGCTGGTCAGCGCTGTCTCCCTGCCGGCCTGCCCAGCTCCTGGAGAACCACGGACGGGCCTTCTCCCGCCATCCGCCCTGGCCTCCTGTGGTCACGGGCGCGGTGCCGTTTCCCTGTCACTTGGGCATCCTCATTGCCAACTGCCAGTGCACGCTGGTGTGAGAGAACCAACACGGTTTTTGAGACGGACCCTTCCTGGACAGTCTTTCATTGCAGAGTAGGGCCAAGTGTAGCCATAATGGGGTGGCCTAAGTAGGTCCCCAATGTTGAGGGCCCTGTGGAGCCTCCAGCCGGGAGTCGTGAGATGCCCCTTGGCCCCAGGTCTGGCCCAGGCTTCTGACCTTTCCCCTCCTCCCGCCCCACTCAACCCTTGTGTGTCCGCCCTTTAGCTTCTCCCCGACCACCAGCTTTTCTGCAGACACACGGTCCCAGCTGCCCACTCCTTCGAGTCCCAGCTCCCGGGTCAGCTCCTTCCAGGGCCCTGCAGGCTTCCCGTAGCCTGAGTTTCGTCGCAGAAAACCGGCGGGCCGCTGTGGCCCGTCTCCACCCCTGCAGTGTGGGCTTTGGGGGCGGGTGCTGCCCGTCTACGGGCGCAGTGCACGTCGGGGGTTGAGCTGGGGGCGTGCCCAGCCGGGGTGTGCATGTGCTGAGCGTTCTCGGGGACGATCGTGTTTGCAATCCTCCCCTAACCGTGTTGCCATCCCTGTGTCAGGTGAGGAAACCGAGTCACACAGTGGCCGGTGCCGCCACGGCACAGGGAAAAGAGCTTGGGCGCGTCCAGCAGCCACTAGTGCTTGTTCGTTTGGACACAGGTCTCTCTTGCTGCACGCGGCGGCCAAGGAGAGGGCCAGGGGACCAGGGGACCCTGTGGGAGAAGGGGCAGGGAGAGGGGAGGGTGGCTGGTTGTTCCCTGCGGGGGCCTCCAGGAGACCGGGGGCAGAAGCAGCCCTGCCACTGTGGCGCTTGCGGGGCCGGAGCGGGCCTCTTGATGACAGGTTTGGGGGTGCACTCGTGGGTGCAGGCTCAGGAATGGGTGTCGGGTAGGAATCACGGCATTTCTCGGTCCTCAGGCTCTCCCTTGGGTGATGCCTCCCACCTCCCGGGAGGACCCCACTTGCTCAAATATCTCAAACAGCAGAGCCCACCCTGGCTGGCCTTAGGGTGGAAGGCCCAGCGCCACGTGCAAGGGGCCCTCTGTGGAGCTTTGCTGACCTGGCGGGTCCTCAGGCCTGACCCCCCACCCGGTCCCACACTTCCCGCGCAGGTCTCCCCCTCTCCAGTAAGCGTGGAGCACCCCCGTGTGCTGGGCTGAGCGGCCGCCCCGCAGGACCCGTGATGGGGGAACGGGGGCGCTGCCTGCAGTCGCCTGTTTTGCTCTGAGGCCGTTAGAGCCCCTCCGACCGGCGACTGTGGCCTCCAAGGTGACTGGCGTCCTTCAGGCGGTGATGGGCTTCTCTCTTCCAGAACTACGTGACCCCTCTGAGGCTGGTGCTGAGCCCGGCGGACATGGCGGCCATCTTCGTCAACCTGGAGGTGAGGGTCCCACCCCTGGCTCACCGTGTGTGGGCCGGAGGTCCTGACCTGCTCGGACGTCAGGCGGGCTCCCACTTGACCGTCCCCAGGGCTTGCATGGTTGATCCTGGCTAAAGGGTGTTTTCGTGGCTGACAGATGGGGGGCGGTGAGCAGGCCCCCTTTTCTTGGGGACTTTGGTTTTAGGAGACGGAGGACACAGTTTCTGGGAGCTTCCCTGCCCAATACTGTGCTGGCGGGTGTGCCCGCAACGCACACGCCCTGGAAGGAGCATCAGGTTTTGTCATCAGTGGAGGGAAGTGTGTCCCCTCCCCCTCTCTGAGCAGACAGAGCGCCCTCACTGCTCTGCGGTGTCTGAACACGGACACCGGAGGGCCATCCCGCGTGGGGAGGCTCACCTCGATGTGGTCAGCAGAGCCGGGGCCAGAAGCTGCGTGTGGGTGGGCTTCGTCGGGGAGCGCTGGCCCTGCTTTTCCTCGGGGTGCCGACGGCTTGAGGGGTGGGCGCTGGGCACCTCCTGGGTGAGGCTGACGCAGACCCCGGAACTTCGTGGCCCCTGCGCCCCCCGACCCAGAGTTCATCCTGCCGTGAGCAGTGGCACACGTGGCCACAGAAGGACTGGGAACCTGGATGGGGGATGGTGCTGCCTGCTAGCCACCCCTCTGCTCTGAAGTGTGGACACACTTCCCCAGGGCCAAGGCCCCCCTTCCGCAGTGGAGAGACTTCACCTGTCAGGGCGCCTGAGCCCCTGCACTCCCGCACACAGCGGGAGGGTCCTGAGGATGCTGGCTGGGGTCGGGCACCGTGTGTCTGGACAGGCTGATGCAGACTCTGGATGGCTGTAGCACCTTCTAGTGAACGGCAGCCGGTGTGTACGAGAGAAAGTGCGCCCGGCCGCTCACGTGGACGTCCTTCCATCGAGACGGCAGCCCGGAAGGAGGGTGATCACAGAGCCCGCGTGCCCCCCAGCCTGCTGTGCCTGCTCATGCGTGGTTGCTTTTTGTCCCAGGACCTAATTAAGGTGCATCACAGCTTCCTGAGGGCCATCGACGTGTCCATGATGGCGGGGGGCAGCACGCTGGCCAAGGTCTTCCTGGACTTCAAGGAAAGGTGAGTGGCCGGGGCCTCTGGGGCGTCCGGGCGCCTATCCGGTTCCATCGTGGGGACAGGGCAGAGCTGGTGGGTGAGTTTACCCAGGTTACCGCTGCGTGGTGCCCGAGGCGGGGGTCGGTGCTCCCACACTCACCCTGTCCTCACTTGTAAACCGAGAAAACTGCCTGCCCTCCCTGCCGTCACAGCCTGCATGGGAGGGGCCTCTCGGGGGCTCCAGCCACCCCCTCTGCCTCTATTCTTGGGGGTCTTGGTGGCTGAAGGACACGCGTGCCATCCACCTGCCGTGCCTGCCGTGCTGCAGACCCCACGGGAATCGGGCACCGGGAGAGTCTGCCCCTGAGTTCTGTGCCTGGGGGGAGGTGACCTGTGGCACCTGCTGCTACAACTGCACTCAGCCCCGCCTGTGCCAGCCTGAGTGAGGGGCTTCAGGGGCTGCAGGGAGCCATGGCTGAGAGCCCAGGCTCTGGGTCCCCAGGGCTGAGGCCATGCTGCTGTTTCTACACGACAGCACAGCCCGACTTCTTTATCTGTCGGTCAGGGGCCACGATGGCGTCTGTGCCACTTGGTGCCCTGAGGGTGAGCAGAGGCCAGGCCTGCGCTGCCGACACGCTGGTCCACACCCAGCGAAGGGCAGGTGTAGGGGCCGGACCTGGGCAGCCAGGCGGGGGTGCGGACGGCAGCCCTGGACACGGATGCGTGGCCGTCTTGGCATAAACTGGCTTCAGCCCTGAACGTGGGGAGACGTGGTTCCGGGACCGAGAAGCGCAGAGCCCTGGATCTTCCAGTGGTGCCCTGGTCCTGTGCGAGTCTCCGCAGCTTCGGGGCAAGTGTCCGTGGAGCCCGAGGGGGTACAGATGCTCTCGTCAGAATCCGAGGCGGCCCTTCTCCTGCAGGCCCCTCCCAGGTGGTTAGGCTGAGTCTAGACGCAGAGAGGGCGCCGGCCTCCACCCCGCCAGAAAGTCACCTGTGATAATCATGCCCATTAGTGGGGTCCCTGATCCAGAATCAAGACTGTTAATGGGAGAGAGTGACAGCTCATTAGGAATCAACGCAGGGACCTTTTTTTTAAAAAAATTATACTGCTGTTACATGGCCCCTGTGAATCTATTTGATTGCTTGCTTTAAGCGCCTCTGTTGGTCACCCCAGTTGATGGAGGGGGTACGGAGGCAGCCTTCTGTTCTCTAGAATGTCCTGCTGGAGCCTGGTAGGGGGGATTGGGATTCTGGAAGCTTCCAACCAGGTGTGAGGGGGCAGCTGTCAGGATGGCTCTGCAGTCCCAGCGGAGAGCCCGGGCCCCTGCTTCTTTCCCTTGTGCCTTGGCAGCTGGCGCTTTAAGATGGGATGCTGACGAGGACGAAGCCAGATGACGTGGAGGGCTCGCAGGATGCCAGCATTGCAGGGTCCTGGGAGATGGTGGTTTTTAGCCACTAAAATCTCAAGAGATGCATCAGCAGATGGTGCCTGGCGTTCTGTCCCTCGTAGAATCTTTGTAGAAGGAGCCTGAAGGTTCTGTCTTCGTGGTGCCTCTGCCTGGCTGCTTGTTGAAGCCGCCTGGGAGCTTGTTAATGATAGCGATTCCTGGGGCTTCCCTGGTGGCGCAGTGGTTAAGAATCCACCTGCCAATGCAGGGGACACGGGTTCAAGCCCTGGTCTGGGAACTAGATCCCGCATGCCGCAGAGCAGCTAAGCCCGTGAGCCACAACTACTGAGCCTGCGCTGTAGAGCCTATGTGCCACAACTCCTGAGCCCACGTGCCACAACTACTGAAGCCCGTGCGGCTAGAGCCCGTGCTCCCCGACAAGAGAAGCCACCGCAGTGAGAAGCCCGCGCACCGCATGAAGGGTAGCCCCCGCTCGCCGCGACTAGAGAAAGCCCACGTGCAGCAACGAAGACCCAACGCAGCCAAAAAAAAAAGAACCGATTCCTGGGGTCTGATGAGGGGTCCTGGGAGGTGTAGAAGGCACCACAGGGGCCAGTGGGGACCCTGGGTCCATGTCACCCTCACCTGCAGGAGGGTCCCCTGCATCACCCGTCAGGTAACTCTCAGCTCCGCTCACAACCCTCTCTGCACAGGCAGCTGCATTCCCAGGCGCCTTCACCTAGGATCACCTGAACGTGCCTCCCCCAGGTGCCCTGTAGCTCCAGGCAAGGAGCCGTGGCCTCCTGAACGGGCCAGGCTCCTCAAGCCTGCTTTCTGAGGGGCCACGAGTCGGGGGGCTCCCGGGAGCCATGAGGGAGCAGGCAGTGCCCATGTACAGGTGGCCGACGCAGCCAGAGGAGAGCAGACAAGGTTTCTCCAGGCACCAGCAGGTGTGGGCATGCTGGCCGGCCCGGGCAAGGGGGTGGGGATCAGGTCTGGGGGTCAGACCGGCTCCCTGATCCGCCCTCTGCCCCCAACAAGGTTTTCCTCTCACCTGGCTGCAAGCCACCGTGCTAGGTGGGCCCATGGCGCCCCGCTGGTGGACTTGAGCCGACTGTCAGAGCTGACCCTCGCCCAGGTGACGGGCACAGCAGACACTTCTCAGCACCTCGTTAGTGCTGCGCCTTGGCTGGGGGTCGGACGGGCACTGAGGCCCAGTAACCCAGCTCAAGGCCACGTGGCTGAGGTACAGATGGATGACCTGTCCTCTCCTGGGACCCTCCACGTCCCCAGCACAAGGGCTCTGCTGCCTGGCCTGTCCCCGTGGTCCAGTTTGCCTGTGAACAAGACCTCGCACCATCCTCTCTACGCACAACCTCGGGCTGGCCTGCCCCCAGGCCTCCTTTCCTCTGGGAAAGACGGACGTTTCCGCCTCGGAGAATTGGAATGAGCAGAATGCATCCTGGCACCGAGAGCTCTGCAGATGGTCACCCGCCCAGCGAGGCATCGGGGGTCCAGGCACTTTTCTTGGGGTCCCTTTGGGGGAGTGGCTGGCTGCATTTCACCAGACCTCATTTGCCAAATCACTGTTCATCCCAGCGTCCGCCTTTTCTGGCACGTCCCTTCTTATTTCTGAGTCAGCCCCTAAGGCCCTGATGTTCGCTGGCTTACCGATTCTGCAAGCATTTATGGAGTGCCTGCTGTGTGCGGCTCCAGAGCTCTGGGCCGAGGTGAGCGAAGCAGGCTCAGCTCTCCCTGGGAAATGAGTCCACAGACAAGAGACTTCCCGTGGGCTGTGCTAGTGCCTGAGAGCACAGGGAAGGGGAGGGGGATGTGGGGAAGGGACTTGTAGCACAGGCTGGGGCCCCCTGAGGACCTGGGGGAGAGGGGATCAGCCCTGAAGCCATATGGGGAATAGAAGCTGCGGGAGAGCCAGGAGCTCTGACTGTTTGGGGAACCGGCAGAGGCCGGAGGAGTGGGACCGAGGGGGCGAATGGGAGGTTCTCCAAGGAGCAGTTATAGGTTCTGCAGGATCTGGTGGGCCAAGATAGGGATTCATAATTTTTTTTTTTCCTTTTTTTGGCGGTACGCGGGCCTCTCACTGCTGTGGCCTCTCCCGTTGCGGAGCACAGGCTCCGGACGCGCAGGCTCAGCGGCCACGGCTCACGGGCCCAGCCGCTCCGCGGCATGTGGGATCCTCCCGGACCGGGGCACGGACCCGTGTCCCCTGCATCGGCAGGCGGACTCCCAACCACTGCGCCACCAGGAAAGCCCCATAATTTTTTTAATATGGGCACGAGAAGCCATTGAGGAATTCAAGGGGCAAGATGCCGGCAGCTCGTCACTGATGAAGGGTGGGGTAGCATCCAGGTGTGGTATGACCAGTGCAGAATGGCAGGGGGCAATCACCTCCCTCTCTTTGGATCTTATTCTCCCATTAATGCAGCCTCGATCCTCAGACAAGGCGGAGGCTCCTGTTAACCTTGCCGTGTGGGCTTAAAGGAGACGTGTCTCCCACACGGAGGGAGCTGGCTCTCGGGCAAGGTTTGCATTGAAGTCCCACTGTTTGTATTTATCGCTGGGGCTGAGCAAGGTGGGCCTGGAGCCTGACTTCTCGTGGGTCCGTGGTTCGGGCTGGATGGGGCCTGGGGAGCTGGTGGCCCGGTGGTAAGACGGGAGGACCAGCTCTTAGGAGGGACTATCTGTGGGGCTTTGCACACGTGCTCTTAGGAGGAACGTCGTTCAGAAAGGCAGGTTCTCCATCCCAGGACCCCATGGGATTTCCGTGAGTGTGGAGAGAGAGGCTCTGGGCAGGTGAGGGCTTCGGTGCTCTGCAGCTTTTCCTTTGCTCTTACGTCAGGAGGACGGCACTGCCCCTCTGGCTGTGATTAACATTCACGGAAACCAGGGTCTCTGGGGGCCTGTCATCTCAAAGCCCGAGGTCAGGTGGTCCTGCACGGAGACAACCCTCTCGTACCCACTAGAGCCCCCGCAGGGGTTCGCGTGGCTGCCCTGTCGGGAGGGCTGCTCTGGGACCATCAGCCGGAGAGCCCTTTACCTCCCGCCCTGTCCAGAGCTCCTTTCCCAGATGGGGCAGCTCAGGACAGGAGACGGGTGAGGCCTTGGCCACGCGTGGTCTCAGCTTGTTCCCGTGTCCTGGGTACACCTGGGTGCATCACCTGTGTCCTGGGACGTGCTCCGTCCTGTCCCCAGCTGTGTGGGCTGAGACAGAAGTGACGCAGTGAGGAAATAAGGCGTCAGATGTATTTCTGTGAGAGGCATTCAGGCTCCCTTTATGGGGTCGGAGTTGGAAGTTCAAGCAGTTAAATAACATACCCCGGAGCTGGTGGCCAACATCTACCACCTCATGAAGGAGCAGAAGGTTGATGAAGGTCGCTCAGCTGACAGTCCGGGACACTGGCACGCAGTCAGCGGGGACAGAAGTTAGGTGCCCACGTTACATGCAGACCCGTCGATTTCCTCCGTGGCAAGAGCACTGGAACCTTTGGGTTGCTTCTCCAGCATGACGGAAATCACGTGTACAGAACAATGTCACGCAAGCGTGCATCAGGCCGGGTCGGGGAGACCGCCTTCCCCGGGGCCTCGGATGGCTGGTGTTCCCAGGCGCTCCAGTGGGACCTTGAACCATCAAGTCCTCCGTGTGTGCGTTGCCTTACTTCCAAGTTTCTGTTTTGTTTTTTTTTAAACTTTGGCACATGAAACTGGCTTCCTTTCTCTTCCTTCCTTCCTCCCTCCCTCCCTCCCTTTCTTTCTTTTTGGCTGCATTGGGTCTTCGTTGCTGTGTGCGTGGCTTTCTCTAGTTGCGGCGAGCGGGGGCTACTCTCTGCTGTGGTGCGCGGGCTTCTCTTGTTGGCGGAGCATGGGCTCTAGGCGCGCGGGCTTCAGCAGTTGTGGCTTGCGGGCTCTAGAGCGCAGGTTCAGTAGTTGTGGCACATGGGCTTAGTTGTTACGCGCCATGTGGGATCTTCCCAGACCAGGGCTCAAACCCATGTCCCCTGCGTTGGCAGGCGGATTCTTAACCACTGCGCCACCAGGGAAGCCCCTTAATCAACTTTTATATGAAAATTCTGAATTTAATAGCAGACTCCTTGAAGTGGAAACCAGGGCTCAGGTTCTCATGCAGAGTGGCTCCTGGTCAGTGTGTCACACTCTGCCAGGCGCGGCCAGGTGCTTTCCGACGCTTGGGACTCTGGACCCGGCCATCTGTCCCAAACCCCCAAGGCCCCAGGGAGGGGAGACCTGCCCGGGGGGCTCACGTGGCAGAGCCGGGGTGCTGGATGCCCGGCCCAGGTGTGGTCACCGCGGGTCCCTCAGGCCGTGCAGGGAGAGCCTGGGGAGTCCCACAGACCCAGCGGGATGCAGTGTCATCTCCTCCAAAGTGAAGCCAGCAACAGGCCTTGACTGCCTACCCCCAACGCCTCGCCAGGTAGCCCAGGGTGAGGCAGCGTCCGCGGAGGACGGAGAAATGGGCCTGACGTCATCTTCACCCGAGCTTCCCAGAGCTGGGCCGGGAGAGGCCTCCAGACGTTTGCTGACACACAGCGTGACCTGCGTCTGGCAGGGCGTCCCTGGAACGTCATGTGCGGGGCCCGGCCTTCTGGTGTCGCCCTTTATTAGCTGGTGACTCTTAGCAAGTTCATTGAGGCCTTGGTTTCCCCACTGGAGAGTGGGGCTCATCACCCCCACCTCTGTAAGTGGGTTAAAGGGTCGTGACGCTGTGCGTGAAGCTCCTGGCCCTGGCGGCTCCCAGAGGCGGTGACTGTCGCAGCCATCCTTACTGTAGCCCGCGACGCCACTTGCCTGGCCCTTCTCCAGGGGCCTACTCGGTAGTCGGGTGACAAGACTTTGAAAGATGAGGTTTCAGGCTAGTAACCCAAGGCCCTGAGAGCGCCGGGCCCCGGTGCCGGGGGCTCTGGTCTGTCGGCCCTGGAGGATCGTGGTGGGGAACAAAGCAGAGGGTGTTAGGAGAGAAGCAGGATGGCAGGCAGGCAGTGGGCGCAGGGGAGGCCGGAAGTGGGGGAGGCGGGGCTGGATTAGAGGGAGCTCCTCCCCCTCTGCACCCGCATCTTCCCTGGACCCGCGGCCCCTCCCAGCACCCCCGTCTCCCAGGTGATGGGGGCTGACGTCACCCTGCCCTGAGAGGCCGGTGGCTGGAACCCAGGCACAGACCATCGGTGCCATGTGGCAGCAACAAGGGCTGGCCCACGGGGTCCCCGCACCTCGAAATGTCAGCTCAGGGCCCGGCCCCCCAGGGCGAGCACAGAGCCGGGCCGGGCCTTGGTGCCCACTGCCTGCGGGCTGCAGCGAGAGTCGCCTGGGGAGGCAGGGGCTTCTGTCTGCCTTTGGCCCTTTCCAGGGGCGGGATGGGGGTGCTGGAACAGAACCACAGAAGAGGGCCTCCTTGGGTTAGGGGAAGGCAGGGTGCCCCTCCGTCCCCACGGCTGGCAGCCCTTCTCCTGGGCAGAGCAGGGAAGGAAAGCAGCCTCGTGGAAAGAACAAAACCGTTAAATGTGCGAACACGTGAGGAGCTGTCACGGGGAGAGAGCTGCTTGCTGCGCTCACAGCCTGACGTGAAAACGGCTCAGGCTCACACCCAGTGTGTGTGTGTGTGTGTGTGTGTGTGTGTGTGTGTGTGTGTGTGCGCACCCGCCGTCCAGGCTCCTGATCTACGGGGAGTACTGCAGCCGATTGGAGCACGCCCAGAGCACGCTGAGCCAGCTCCTGGCCAGCAGGGAGGACTTCAGACAGAAAGTCGAGGTACTTGGGGCTTCCCGGCCTGGCCTGTCCCTTGCCGTTTCCGAGCTTCCAGCTCCCCTGGCCTCTAACCCGTTTCATGGGAAGCTGGGGACGGGGCAGTGATGGGACGTTTTTTGTAGATGTTTTTGGCAGATGATTTTTTTTCCTTTGCATTTTGTTGGCGTTGAGAGTGGGCAGGGGGAGGTCACCATCCCAGGCCAGGGCCCAGCCTGGGTGCAGCTGTGGCAGGACCCTCGGACCAGATCCGGCTGAGTGGGGGACTGTGACTGAGCCCTGACCCTGGCCTATCGGGACCCCACGGGGGCCCCAGGTGACGGACGTCTGCTGGGAGCCTCCCACCCCTGCTGTGTCGTCCCTCCGGAGGCTGGGCTTCCCATGTTGTATCTGGCCGGTCAGACAGTTCCCAGGTTGAGCCCTGGTGCCACGTCCCTTTGCTCCGGCAGTGTTGGGGGTGACTCGCCCCTCGGAGAGGCCCGATGCCCTCATGTGTCCAGGCAACCAGTGGGGAGCCCCTGGTTCCTGAAGGCGGTGCCCCCGTTAGTGTGAGCTGGCCTCCCCCAGGGTCTCTGGTGGACCCCAGACCAGGCGTCACTCAGAATCCCCCCCATGTGGCCACTGCAGACCCCTGAGGCTATGAGAGGCAGCAGGCCCCCTGCCCGCCTGCTGTGAAGCCCACCCCTCTGCACACGCCTGGTTTGTGGGGGG